AATCGATGAGCCCAGTCTCTGGGTGCACACGGTAGGGCAGCGACTCGAAGTAGATGGACCTCAAGGGCATCGGTGACATGCTCCTAACACTCTCCGGAACCCGAGATCCTAGTCTATTTCAACCGTCCCTACGTGGCAGAGATCTTCTTCTTCGCGGTGTAGTAGCCATGTGTGAGGTGTCCGCCGCTGGGCAGATCAAGTCCCATGACTCGCGCGTGGGGCGGCAGCAGGGCCGTGTACACGGCAAAGTTTGCCGGGCTTCCGGAGTAGGGCTGCACGTTGACGCCCCACTCCTTCTCATCCAAGCTGAAGGCCTTGAGCGCACGCTCCTTACACAGGTTCTCCACCTTGTCGATCACCTGGCACGCTACGTTTCCAGCAGGTAAAGTCTAGCATGCTGGGCATGGTGCACGCGAAAAAGCATGGATTTGAGTGCCCGTGCCTCATTGCCTCCGTAGTATCGGGCCCCTGGCTGTCCCTCGGAGTACTTGTTGGTCAAGGCCGAACCCAAGCACTCCATGACGGCGCGAGACGTGAAGTTCTCGGAAGCGATGAGCTCGATGCACTTCATCTGCCGCTCCTTCACAAGACAAGCCAGTGGAATTAGGAATTAGGAAAAAAAGTCACTGTCACTAGAAAAGTTCAAGGGCATCCGCTCCTTCTCAGCCTGGACCAGGCCTGCCATCACCGGGTCCGCCTCGCTCAGGGGCCGGTTTCCGGAAAGCACGGGACGAGAGGCCATGGCGCAAGGGGTCTGCGACAGCGAGGGCACAAGTGGAAGGAGCTTTCTAGCGCTGATCCGGCAGCGTCTTGCGAGGCGAGTCACACAGCCCTGCTCTAGCCTCTTGCCCTCGCTCTATGCAAAATGGAAGTGTCTCACGACGAGCGCCTCGTCCGGAACAAGCTCCTCCAGTCGTAGCCGAAGTGACCTCACTATACAGGAGGCACGCATTGACCCAAGCACCCGCCTTCACATCTCACGCAGACCTGCGCAAGCGGTAGCTGCCCAACACAGACGCAAAACGTTCCACCACCTGCAACAGAGGAGGATTTGGCCTTTCAGCCTTCAAGTTATCAAAGCCAGAGGTTTGGATACGTCAACGCCACCAGCTTGGCAGTCCAACCCAAAGGCAAGGGCCAAGGTCGCGACGGATCCTTGTTCAGGAGGCCGAGGATGATGGACACCATGTCCTAGAACCACCCCCCAACATAGGGTTATTTGGGGTTACATAGGGATTATATGGGATATTGGGGCTATATAGGGATAATGGAAAACAAAATGGAAACTACTATCTAGAACCCCCCCCCCAACATGCAGCTCGTGCTGGACCGTTTGTATTACTGGCATTGTACCACTTGGTGCCTGGAATTGCTACACCCGAAAGGCCGAATGTTAGCTAACCGCGGCTTGGACAGGATTCATGCAAACGATCAGGAAATAGTCCCATCCCCGAGCCGGAAATCCAGCTCATGTTGCAGCCCTTCCGGTTGCCCTTGCATGAACTAGTCTAAACTCCTGATATCATATGATGCCCTATATAAACCCCGAAACACGCTTCTGCGGTGAGATGGCACTCCCTTAAGGAACTGAACCACTTTAGCTTCTCCATGATCTAAATGGCCGTAAATAAGAGTTTGAGAGGAGTGGGACGGGCATCACCATTTTCCAAGTCACACAGGAAGCGGATCGGATCAATCGCGTCACTTAAATCAGGTACGCCATAGATGGAAAATCAAACTCAACAGAACATGGAAATGGACATTGAAACTGGAAATGTGAAAGGGTTTAAGGGCTGATAGGCTTAGTTTGCCAGGCTCATCCAGGAACCCTTTAGCTCAAGTTTGCCTTCAAACAAGAAACACACCAAAGACCTCCCAGAAAAAAAAGCTGTCTTGCCTGAATCGCTCATATAGTATTAACATGTTCGTTTGGAGGAGGGCATCTCTAAACCCTAAACCCTGAACCCTGAACCCTCAACCCTGAGCCCTCAACCCTGAACCCCAAACCTTAAACCCTAAATCCAGAACCCTATACCCTAAACCCTGAGCCCTAAACCCTTCCCCCTTCTCATTGTCAATCCAATGCTCCGGTGGCGTCTCTGTCGGCAGCTCAGGAGGGTCGTGCTCCACAATTTGCCAGACCAGGGCTAGCCTCGATCTTCTTTACGGGTGGTTTGTAGGGAGGGCTTAGGGGTTTAGGGGGTTCAAGGGGTTTAGGGGGTTTGAGGTTTAGGGGTTTAGGATTTAGGGCTTACAGTTTAGGGCGTAACGTTTCGAGTGTTAAGGTTTAGGTTTTAGGGTTAGTAGGGAATAGGAGGTTATAGCGGATACATGTGTACATATATATATATGTGTGTGTGTGGGTGTTCGTGTGTATGTAAGCTTTAGGTTTAGCAGGTAAGTGAATATATATATATGTATATGTATGTAGAGAGATTTTAGGGTTGCTAGGAAATGAGGGGATTACATATTTTAACATATAGGATTTAGGATTAGTACGGATTAAGAGATTATATTTTACAGGGATTATTGAAGTATTGCATGCCCTTTTTCTTACTAAGCACCAGAAAGTCTCGCGGGGTTGCGGTTATGGATCACAGATAACTATACAATAATGTGGATATGTAGGAAAATAGGTTTTTCTATAGGGGAACCTCATGCAAGGGTCCACATGGCAGGCTAGCAATGGGTGGGGTGGGATAGGGTGGCTGGTGTGAGGGGCACATTTGGCTTCGTGGTCTCTCTAGGCAAGTATACTGCTCATATCGAATTGGCAGGCATTCTAAGAGGATTATGATGATATCCCTTTGTTGCTGCCTTGGGTTCTCAAGGCGTGATGAAGAAGCCCAAAGAGGTTGAAGCAGCGGGAAGTATGGTTGCTTCATCAGCTCGTGGAATCGAGCTACAGCAGTTGTACTGACGTTTAAGCCCCATAAACCCTAAACCCTAAACCCTAAGCCCTAAACCCTAAACCCTAAACCCTTTTAAGCATTCTGTTTCTGCTTTGCTCCAACCCTGAACCCTCAACCACTTACGCATGAACTTGAAGGCCTTGAACTCTGATGTCCTGGGAGCGCGCGGGTCTGCAAGTATAACTGGGTTGCTGTTAAGGA